ATTGATTTTATAACTGTGTCTCGTTTAGGGTTGTATGCATATGTTTTGAGAGTTTGTACAAAAATCGATTGCTTGGGTACCTCTGTCCCATTCGTGTTTCAACCGTGAAGCAGTTGTTTTCATGGTTGTGTTTCGGTTTGAAGGGTGAAATACGGCGTGAATTTACTGAGTACAGAGGAATAACACCTGAGTCCTCAGGAATGGCAATGTATGGGGGGTATCATGGGCAACAGTATACTATATTATGTCCATGGTACTGCTCATGTTACTATTTTCCGTCAGGTGGGCCGTCAGCTTGTTTGCCATTCTAAGTAGTATAAAAAAAAATTACTTTGTGTTAAAATATGTCTATACACAATAGTTTTTCTTTATTTTAACCAACTGGTATCCTTACTGATATGTATTTTAAATTTGGTATTGAGTTTGCCAATTATCTTTTAGCGCCTTAATGGCTTAATCGATTACTATGAAATATGCTATATACGCACTATATGGGAGGGAGAAGGATATAGGCGACTTTTTATCCCAGTTAGTAACCATATCCCAGTGGGGGGGAATGTTAATATGGACTGCCAGTTCCATTGCTAGCAATACACTCTGTCGGGTCATGTGGTCCCCCTGGAAACCATCGTGTTAATATTTTTTTTTTTACAACACAGGGGGCAAACTAGCGTGCGGCTCACCTGATGGTAAGTGACTACCGCCGCCCATGATCACCCACAACACCAGCGGCATTGCAGGTGTGCTGCCGGCCTTTTAAAAAGGAATATACTCTTTTCTTGAAGGTTATGTTGTCGTATCGGTTCGGAAATACTGTTCCAGGTGTATTCAGCACGATGGGTTAACTGACATGCCTTTTCATTCTCTGCTATCATCTCTCACCATATCCCGGTCACGCGAACGGAGTCGCGTGTGAAAGATAGTGGTGGTATCAAAATCAGTTCATCCCAGTTGGGGTGTATTAAATTTTGTTTTTGTTACAACTTACCTACTTAATTCGAAAAGTTTAATGTTTCTTTTGTTAGCGACTGTCAGACCGCACTGGAAATCTTTCCCTCCCTCCTTTGAACTGTTGAGAGGCCGTCTTTCTGTTTTAAATCCATTCTAAATATTTTCCCGTTTATATAGGGTGCAAATATCCCATTTACACAGGGTGAGTCGAAAGTATTCTTTTATAAGTGACCTGATATTTTTTTTTTATGCAATTTAGAATAGCAATAATTTAACGGTCTACCTGACGGAAAGTGGTTACCACTGTTACCACTTTCCGGATAAGATACAGTATACTCTGTTATATTTCATGGATATAACAGAGTATACTGTATCGCCCATGATACCTCCATGCATTGCCGTTCCTGAGCACTATGGTGTTATACCTCTGTACCCTATAATTTTACTGGCCTTCAAAATGGAATATAGAAATGGAAATACGAAAGGGCATCTAACCAAACGACTTTTATACAAAGTTTCCTTTATTTCTAAAAAATATGGATTTTTCTTATTCTTCTTTAAACTTAAATGACTGCCAATATTGTGTTTTTTTTTATGGGTGATAATGAAATGGTAACCCCATCCGCGCTATCGATATATACCGGCGGGGCACCAGTGAAAGATGATAGGTGAGGATGAAGCAGGTCAGTTAGCCCATCGTGACGAATTCAATAAGAATTGTTCACGATGGTTTCCAGGAGGAACAACTTGGAGGTCGACCTAATAGGACATATTGCTGGCAATGGGGCTGTCAAACTCCATTGCCAACAATCCCTTTCCCCCCACTGCCCTATTGTTAGCAATACACACTCAGGTCGATCTTTTCGCGGTTCCCTTGGAAACTATCGTGTTCTATTCTAAGTGAATTCATCACGATGGGCTAACTGACGCCTTTTCATTGTCATCTATCATCTCATACCTCACTGGTGCTCCGTCAGTGTATACCGTTAGCGCAGGAGGAGTTACCATTCCATTATTATTCATTTAAAAAAAATAGTAATGTGTTAGTATCGCAGCTTTCATTTTTATTTATTTATTTATTTATTTACACTTTATTACATAAACAAACACATACATAAACATACACAAACTTGAAAGTACACATACAACAGGAGAGAGTGACACTGGAAGATGAAGGTAGAACATGGAAAAATAGTTACTTACTTGAATGGAGAGATAATGGGCCTTAACAGAGGTTTTGAAGCTAGCGAGAGATTGAGAGATTTTTTTATTTTTTTTCTTTTAACAAAAATGTTCAGATTTCTTTTTAAATACTAAACTAAATGTATTCCATTTCACTCGGTATGGGTATTAAGCTTTTTTTTTTACAAATATTGAGTTTTTTTTTAAATGCAAATTACATTATTATATCTATCTAGTAACGGTATCAGTAATAATAGTGTAATAACTCGGCCCGTGTTAATTAGGCATTAAATACTTGTTTATGGGCCATTAATTTTTTTTATGCTTTTTTAAACTATTTAACTGGAACACTGCTCAGTTTATCGATATTGTATCGATGCCGTGGGATGCATTGGCTCTCTTCCGTTTCTGATTATTTAAATTCTTTTCTTTGTTAGCGAATATTTCATTGATTGATATTAAATCTTGAAATATTGTTAAGCTATTTATATTTATTTGTTTATTTATTCCAAGCACAAAATAGGTTTTATAGAATAGGTACAACGTAATACGATTTTGAATTAAAATTACAGTCCTTTTAGGGTCTAATAATTATAAACATTTTTTTTATGTAACTTAAAATGGCAAACAAGCTGATGGTCCACCTGATGGAAAGTGCTCACCGTCGCCTATAGATGTGCAGTACCATGAACATAACACATATTGTTTCGCCCATGATAACCCCCGTGCGTTGTGATTCCTGAGGACTCAGGTGTTATTCCTCTGTACCCTGTAAATTGACTGCCATATCTCACCCTTCAAACCGAAATTCAGCCATGCAAACACAACTGCTTCACGATAGAAACACGAATGAGACAGAGGTGGCCAAGCAAACGACTTTTGTACAAAGTCTGCTCATATCTATAGGCGACGGTTACCATTTTCTATTAGGTGGGCCGTCAGTTTGTTTGCATTCTAAATTGTATAAAAAATATATATTTATATAATTATTGTTATTTATTTAATCCTCTATAATATTTAAGTTTATTTATATGTTTACATATTGTATTATATGTTTAATTATTTTATTATTATAATAAAGATAGCTTAATTAATTTATATTGAAAAAACAAATTTACCTCATTTGGAAAATTTTGATACCATTATCAGTTTTTTTTTAATTTGCCTCACTGAAAAATGGCATTAATTCTTTACTGTATAGAAAAAGCTGTTTAAAAAAATCGAATCAGCTAATTTGACAGTTGGCTAACTAAATGTTGACCTGTTTTTGACCCTCGTTGTTCTATCTACATAACCTATGACAGTACCCATCTAAATATAAGATTATCTTGCATATAAAATAATAGGAAATAGTAACTATTGAGTTTCGAGGGAGTTCTTTTTGGCAGATCACAATATAAGAATGTTGTTACCCAGAAGTAGAATATTAAAAAAAAAAAAACTATTTAAAAGAGCTTGTAAACAAGTCTATTCGAATAAAGATTATTTATTCTATTCTATTAATAACAAACGTGATATTTTCTATTCTATCCTATTAATAGCCAACTGTATTGTAATTATTTATGTAGGGCATCCCCGAATTTAAAACGCGAGTAAAGCCGACATAAATGAGTTTATTTTTAAATACACTTACACGACAAGTAGGTACCTACACGTACATTATGATCGACAAAAAATACCGATTTTTATTGTTACAAAATTAATATGGAATTAAGTCGAAAGTTCAGTAAATTATTTGACTGCAAAAATACATCAAAATCAGTTTAGAATTATATAAGACTAGTGACCTATCTCTGCTTCACACGTACCCAATAGACAGTAATTGTTTTTGATTTTAGATATGTTACTCGCTAACATAGTACCTTTCTTAAGGCGAAAGAATTTTTAAAATTAGTCGCATAGTATTTAATTTACATTACATTATATAGCTACCGTCTTTTTTTTCTTTTCTCTACCCAAAGGTAGTTTGTAAGGGATTGCTTTAGCGATAAGACCACCTCTTGTACTTTATAATAATTTCGTATTCTCAAATGGCTGAAACTAAACGGGTGATATTAATTAAACTGATAGGTGTATTACAAGTTAAAATATTTCATATAACCTACCTATCGCTGTTATTCTAATTTTTTTACATGGAGTTTTTTGTAACATTATTTGTGATACAGTAGTGTAAATCGAAAGACGAAGATCTAAAAAGATGGAGTGTGAGAAAGAAGAGACAGTTCGTAGACTGACAATGCGACATAAAAATTAAGAGTAAAATGTATGTTTTTTTTAGTGCTGTGCCGACTCCAAAAATGGTTGGAGGAAAATAAAGACTGACTCGTGCGATATTTAACGTGTTTATGTTTTTTCATTTGTTCATATAAGACCATGATATATACGAAGGTAGTTCTTGAAGTTAATTACGTATCCTATCTTGGTACAGGCATCGTGGTGCAGACGTATGAAGTTTACATACATTTATGCTCGTGAACCACGTGACTATTCGAAAGCTTATACCCAACCCATATTATCCATTAATAATATTGTTAATGGACCAGTGGACACTATGTCATATAATTTATATGGAACAAATGTCAGGATGGCTAAATACATTCCAATCTTTATTAGATAAAGCGGATCTCTCTTCAATCAATCTTTAATTTCGCTTGCAATAAATCAATAAAATCGCCATTAATTTCGCGTACCGCTCAGTCTTGGAGGCTGCTAAATAATGGACACCCATCAGGTCTCATTAGCGCCGAGCGGGGGCGCCACGGGCGGCCGGCCGCCGGGCGCCTGCCGCTAGATCAATACACACGACAGGACCCGAGCCACTGCGGAGACAGCCGAGGGAGACCGAAGCGCGGCGAAGTTAGCCGAGCGGTGCCGAGCCCGCGCCGCACATGACAAGTGTCACCGTGATACGGCTCCGCAGCCTTCAGGCCTCCCTGAAAACTCTGAAAAATCAGATAAAAGTGCATTCCGGGCGGTTGCGCGATAAACGATTGCTTAGTGTTGTGTATCGCAGTGGACACGCTACGTGTGAATCGTGACTGACCCTTTGTGTTGTGTGAGTATTCTGAGTTTTCATTCGTCCTCACTTGTGGGCAATTTTCACCTGAAAAGCTTATTTAACAGTGGCAAGGGCGTTGCAATAAAACATTGCGGTATATTATCTAATTACTGGAGAATGTTATTATTCTATAGAGCTGTCCGTCGCTGTAAAAAACGAATGGGAAGTGCCAAACCCTAGTAGTACTTCTTTTGTCAACAGAATATACCTGCGCATTGAATTCTCATCATTTACAAAAAACTAATTTAAAATACTTGATTTCCATTAATAATATTAGTTAAATGACGTTATTTTATTTATAAAAATAATGATTAGTTTCTGTGAAGGTTTTTAATAGAATTTAAGACAGGACACCATTGCGCAGGTCCAGTAACGACCTGCTCTGCGTCATACGTGTTTTCGTGTTATTTTCTATTCATATAATTTTTTACGTTCTAATTTTAAATTAAATCAATAGAAGCTCAGTCTTTGTTGAGTGGTATTTAATGAGCACCTATTTATATATTTTTATCATAAATTTTATTACCAGTAATTTTTTGGTGTTTTATTTTTGTCACGAAATATCTTTATTGTAGACAAATAATTGTAAATTGTAAAATTCATCAAACTTTTATATGTAAAATAAAATTTTATTACAGGCTAGTGTAGAAATTGAATATGGAACACACAAAAAAAAAGTAACATACTTTTCTTGTGAGTTATTTACGGACGAGCCTCCGCAAAGGTTTTGACCTTGCTGTTATCAAGTCAGCATTGCAGTGTCAGTAAAACCAGTTGAGCGAGACCCCTGCATATTTGTTAGCAGTCCTTGTGTTTTCTTGTGGAAACATCTGAATAAGTTATGACATGGCTCTGAGTGAACTGGCCGTTGATAGCTTGTCAAAGTGACAGCTGATGCGCGCCGGCGTTAGGGGTTGAATTTGAAAATAGAATGTCCGCATTCAAATACCGAATTAGACGTTTGAAATTGGAACAATCGTAACGAAATAATGTATTTGTAATTATGTATTAATGATTTATTAGCAATAGATACTATCGAGTTCTACCATGCTATGTTAATTTTATCGGTAATTGTATCTTTTTAATTGCTAAACATAAAAGTTTGCTGTTTATCTTTATATCTACAAAACGGTTCGTCGTTTAAAAAAAAAACTCGTATTCTTTTTGGTAACAGTAATTATGCATGAAGTTATGTCTTTGGTACGATTCTATAAAAATTAAAAAGTTAAATCGTTTATGGTGAACGAAAAAGCTTTGGGCGTAGAAATAAGAAACTCGTCACATAGGTTATTGAAACTGGCCATATATCACCATTCATTGGGACCATAAATTTTTGGTAAACCGAAATGTGTGACCCCGTAAGGAGAGATCACGCGACACCGAGATTATATCGGATACATGCGGACAAACAACTTTCAAATGTACACTCGCCGTAACCTTTAGTCGCAGGTTCGATGCCCATCCAGGGCCGGATTCGATTGGGGCCCAAAGACACAGTACTGTAATTATTTTATACTTATGGATTTGTGATCAGGCATGTTATTTTTTTAATGGGTGATAATGGAATGGTAGCCCCGCTTGCGCCATCGATATACGCTGGCGGGGCACCAATGAGGGATGATAGATGAGGATGAAGCAGGTCAGTTAGCCCATCGTGACGAATTCAACAAGAATTGTTCACGACGGTTCCCAGGGGGAACCACGCGGATGTCGAACTGACAAGGCACATTGTCAATCACAATCCCTTTCCCCCAAGCAGGTCAGTTAGCCTATCGTATTTCACTAGAATTAACCAGGATGGTTTCCAGGGGGAACCGCGTGGAGGTCGACCTGATAGGGTGTATTGCTAGCAATGGGCTCATTAGACCTCATTACTAACAATCCCTTTCCCCCCTTATCAGGCATGTTTGTCTTTTAAAAAATAAAAAAAAACGCATATAACTAGATATGTATTTGAAGTTTGATATTCGAATATAGGTCAAACGACTTCGCCCGCGTGACCTGGATACAAAGAAACCTATGACTTTATCCATGCTAAATGCTGCGTGCACATCAAATAAAATGACTAGTTGAGTCATTATTTCGCCAAGAGATAAACAAACAAACAAACTTGCTTTCGAATTTATAATAGTAGAAAATTCATCTTTGACCAGAGGGAGACTTTGTACAAAAGTCAATTGCTTGGGTACCTCTGTCCCATTCGTGTTTCAATCGTAAAGCAGTTGTGTTTGCATAGCTGTGTTTCGGTTTGAAGGGTGGGATATGGCCTGAATTTACTGGGTACAGAGGAATAACACCTGAGTCCTCAGGAATGACAACGCATGGGGGGTATCATGGGCGAAACAGTATACTCTGTTATGTCCATGGTACTGCTCATGTCTATAGGCGACGGTTACCACTTTCCATCAGGTGGGCCGTCAGCTTGTTTGCCATTCTAAGAAGTATAAAAAAAAAAAATTATTTCACCAAGAAACAAACAAACTTGCTTTCGAATTTATATTATTAGTAAATTTATTTCTCCGTTTTAAATTTTAGGTAATTAAGGTAAAAACAGGGTTTTGTTTCTTTTCACGTGATAACAATATTACGTATTGGGGAAAGGGATTGTTAGTAATAAGGTCTAACAGCCCCATAACTAGCAATATACAGACAATTTAAAAGTGCTTGTAAACAAGTCTATTTAAATAAAGTTAATTTGAATTTCTTTCGATATTTTTTATTAACTTAATTCGTTAATTTTATAAAAAAAAAATATTATAGTTTAGAAATTTAGGTCAAGGTCATGGTATTTTTTACATGTTTATAATTGAAAAAAGTTCGAAGAGGGCCCTGCGTATAGTCTGTCCGACCCTGTATTGCAAGTACTTTGTCCGATTATTTGTAAATGAATTACTCTTATAAATTATTTTCTACATTTACTTTGTAATATATCTATTACTAGTAATCTACCCTGGCTTTACACCGGTAAATACTCGTAGATAGAAGGATTAAATAGTATATTATAATAGCTTTTAATAGGAAAATGTTTAATACCTTGGTTTATATGATTGTAATTTTCGTAGGATTCTCTATTTTTTTTTAATAATATATAGCTTAATAATATGTTTACATTATATAGATAGTGTCACATGTCAAAAACTTGTCAATATTTAGTCAAGTAATTTGACGTTTGACTGATTTTTCTTAATTAGAACGATTAGAACAAAGCGCTTTTTTTTTATTAATATGTTTTACGGCCCTGGATACAAGTAGAGCAGAGCGCGGTCATTCAATGTTGCCAGTAATTAGTTTAAAATTTTCCCAGATTAGGTTGATTTTTTTACTACAAAAAAACTAGTGTGGGCTTGAAATTTTTTATACTCAAAGTTTCTAGCGATGAAAAATTTTTTTCACATTTACTCTTGGCCATTTGAGGTCGTCACTCCATCTAGTGGGGGCTTGTTTTATATTGCATTTACCGAGTTGCCACTCAAGAACCTTTCTTCCCCATCGGTTGTCGGATCTTCGAGCTATGTGATAAGTCCGTTGCCACTTTATCTTGCTTATCCTTATAAATGTTCAGTATTTGTTTATTTGGTCGGCAGCACGGCGCGAGTGCCGTGGGGTGATGCGCCGGCGGCGCTAAGGTATGAGCGCGGCGCGCGCGCTCGAGCCCCGCGACCGCGACCCACCGCGCCACCCTCACCGTTCTCACCCCCACCAGGTACGTACTAGTCACCACCACTACCACTGGAATTCAGCTATACGTAAACAGTTGACACTCTTCAGTTTTAAATACGAAATGAAAACAATTTTTAGGTGTTCTTTGAAATTTAAATATTATCCTTCTGTCGTATTTCGTGACATATTTTTCTGCAAACAACACCATCTAGCGTTAAAAACTGTAACTATAATTACAACATGATAATATAGGGCATTAAATTTCTAAAGTGATAAATTTAAAAACAGAAAGTCTAAGCACTTTTGGTACACAAAATGTATTTTTTATTGAAGACTTTTATTTTTAATAATTACTGTTTTTTGTCACTTTTTTCAAAGTAAGAAAGAGACGAAACATGAAATAATAGAACTTATAAAAAGTAATAAAATTATATACATAAATATACTTATTTAAACGGTTTTTTTGTCTGTCAAGTGATAAACATTTATCACACACCCACGTTCCGGCGCGTGCAATTACGAGCACAGATTATAAATAAAATTACGGGTTTTAGCAATGTGTCTACTTTTATTTAGCGAATTAATATGGCCATAGACTTTCTAAGAAATAAAGTGACCTCAGCGTATGCGGACGGACGGCAGAATTGAAACGGGCACGCGATCGCAATCTTGGTTCCTTTTTTAAATTAAAAAACAAACGGAGTTACTATGAAAAATTCGCGCGCAAACAAATAATGTAATTAAATGCCCATATTTACGTTGCCCACGCACTTTAAGTGGGAAGTCTGATCGATGGATATATTTAAACATTTTTTTTTATAAACGTACCTACTAATTCATATTTACCGTTTTGTATTATTAACTTACGTATTTTTTTTTTGTTTTTCAATTTATGGAATATTTATCCAAAATAATGATTAAACAACGAAATAAATACTGTCAAAATGACATAATTTAGATCGTTCGGACCAAAGTTCGGACACTGTGGTATGGATTATAAAGAATTAAGTGTCACTCTCCGATTTTGGAACGAACGTGTGCCGTCTCAAGCATGAAATTCGAGTCTGAATTTTCAGAATTAGGGTTTCATAGTAGACTCACATGGTTACAGTCCATCTAACCACAGAAGGGTTATAATACTAATGATATTATTTTTATTTTATCGATTTCATAAAAAAATAAAATATTATATTTGAAAAATAAATAATAATTATAATTCTTGTTAGAATTTATCAGATTTAAATTCGAATATAATGTGAGTGTTTATGAACCTAGTAGGATGAATACAGAGTCTATATTTTTACTTGCATTTTATTATTTCAACTAATTTACATTACATTAATTACATTGATATGATCAACAGTTTTTGAGACAAAAAATACTACTAAATAATTCCTATTTACAAAATAAGGAAAAATAAAGCTCTCCTAAAACAAGTTAGTCGATATGCAGTAGTGATTATTCAGAGATATTTTTATTACTCTTGTTGTAATGTAAGAATTTTGTTTTATCTGTATTTATACGTTTATCTCTATTTGCAACTAGCATCGGAAATTGTGGTTGTGTTATAAATTGTCTTTTTAACGACTTCGCTTTAAGAAGTACCTACGTCATTTAGTGTGATGGCGGTTCAGTGTTGCCATTAAAAAATTCCAATACCTCGGTAAACGGGCAATTACCGCGAACAAAGACGTTGATCGACCTATCGAGTAGGTATTCGTGTATAACAAATATTTCGCTTCGATATTTAATTAATTGTTACTGAATTGACTAGCTTTTACTTGTGACTTCGTCCACGTGACCAGATTTTTCAATGGATGATAATGGAATGGTAACCTCGCCTGCGCTAACGGTACGCTGGCGGGGTACCAGTGAGGGGTGATAAGTGAGGATGAAAGGGCAGGTCAGTTAGCCCATCGTGATGAATATACCTGGAATTCAGCACGACGGTTTTCGGGGGGGACCACGTGGAGTGGACCTCGATATTGCCAGTAATGGGACTGATAGTTCACATTACTAACAACCCCCTCCCCCCATGTGACCAGATTATGTTTATTGACGGAATATAAAGTAGCCTTTTTATACCTTTTTTATAGCCTATATCATTTTCCATCCCATATAGTATGTGTATACTAAATTTCATAGTCATGGGGTAAGGCAGTATAAGGTATACTGCCAACATACATTTTTTTTATACAACTTAGAATGGCAAACAAGCTGACGGCCTACCTGCTGGAAAGTGGTAACCGTCGCCTATAGACATGAACAGTACCATAGACAACAGAGTATACTGTTTCGTCCATAATACCCCCCATACGTTGCCATTCCTGAGGACTCAGGTGTTATTCCTCTGTACTCTGTAAATTCACGCCATATCCCACCCTTCAAACCGAAACACAGCCATGCAAACACAACTGCTTCACGGTTGAAACACGAATGGGACAGAGGTACCCAAGCAAACGAATTTTGTACAAAGTCTCCCTCTGGTTTATTATATGTATTATAAACGTGAAAGTAAGGATTAGAAACGTGCGTGTTGCTTTTGTATCTTACAAGTACTATACACAGGTATATAACAATGTGGTGGTAAATTCAAATTTTGCCAACATTAAAATAGTGGGTGGAAATTTAATAAGTTATCTCACTATCAGGTACTTACTGCCCATATTAGGGTGTCGCCCTCTGGTGTCAAGAGTTTTTAAGTTGCCGTCATTACACAAGAAGGCATCTTACTAATTTCTACTAAACTTGATCATTTCTATTAATATTATAGGTACCTATAATATTAAAAACGGTAAAGGTATTTTAATATTTGTTCACTCATTTAATCAGAATTGAAAGTATTTGACTGAAATCCAAAGATAAGCAAAGCTAAATCTGAAGCAAAGATAAAACATTATTTTTGGACCCCACATGGTACTATTTTTTATTTAAATTTAAATTAACGTGGCCACAGCCACCACAGTTCGTTGGATATAACACATTCTAATCCTATCTCAACCGACATGTCGTCCAAGTTTATTAAGCTAGATAAATTACGATTCATTCATCAAGTCCCAGGTTCGCATTCGGTACAACTTTCAATTAATTATTCGTGTGCATTTTAAAAACGTTTTCCGTTCATGAAATTTTAATTTTACATAATTAATAGTTCAATTAATTGATATAGTTCAGTCTCCCCTCCCTCCCCATGCTGGCGGCGCGGCGCGCGGCGGGTGGGCGTGGCGGCTGCGCGCGCGCATCGTTCCGCACTCCAAGGCCGTCTGACCCACTGATATAATTTTCTTGCATTGTAAGCCGCTCATTGTGGCTTATTACACGAGGAAAACGCGGCGATTCGCTAAACTAACCAAAAGACACAACGCCCCCAGTACTGTCTACGTGTTTAGAGTTGCAAGTCGCACGTGCGTTAGAAGTTTTTTTTTTTTTTAAATAGGACAGCTGATAGAATATACAATGGGTTTTTATATATGTAAATGTGTAGTCTTTGTATTTATGATAAGTTTAGTACTGTCATATTTTGGAGGGAACAATAAAAAATGTTTATATCTATCTACCTTATAAATAAGATATTTACAGATGTATATTTTTTGGCTTATTACTCTTTTAATAAAAAGGTTGTTATAACATGCGTCCAAAACTATTTAAATTGAAATTTTTAATGTCACCACCTCAGCTATTAACCGTCCTCTGCTGAAGAACGGTCCTGAGCCACCTGCATCCACTGACTCCCTGCGATGCATTTTTTTTTTTGATGGGTGAAAATGGTATGGTAACCCCGCCTGCGCTAACGGGATACGCTGACGGAGCACCAGTGAAGGGTGATAGATGGGAATGAAAACAGGCCAGTTAGCCCATCATGATGAATTCATCAGAAATTAATCATGATAGTTTCTAGGGGGAACCGCGAGGTTGTTGGGTATATTGCTAGCAATGGGATTCTCAGTCTATATTACTAACAATCCCTTCCCCCCCTGCGATGCATTTGATGTCTTCATTCTATCTAGATAGTCTTAGAGATTTGATGTTCGTGTAGATTGTCATATATAATATATAAATAAATAAATATGTTCAAATTTGGTCTGGCATATTTGAATATAAAATAGAAGATATATATTCAGCAAATTTATATGTGACGTACGTATGTATGTTCGGCGTGAGGTCTCGATATAGATAGGGCCACCCCTTCCTTTCTCGTTGGTGTCGTAAGAGGCAACTAAGCGGACTTACTAGTCGAGGGGTGGGCAGCAGTGTTTTTCTTAAAACAATGTTTAACTGCGGTTGTCAACCTGCCTGCCAAGTGGAGGCGATTGTTCATCAGTGGATAGTTTATGCCTAGTATGATGAAGCTGTGGTTAATTTGAATTTTTCTATGTAAAAATTATAAAAAATATAAATGATTTTTAGTAAATTTGAGATGATTTAGTAATTTTTTATAAACGTAGACAGTTGAGGTTGCTCTGCAACATTTTATCTCTTCTCACTAGTCCCTTATCACCAGAATACTTGAAATGTAGATTCAAATATCTCTGTGATTCTCACACACGCGAACTTCGTTCTAACGACTCTCTTGTTCTCTCTATTCCTCTGCATCGTTCTGATTTTCTTTCCAATTCCTTCCCTCTTGAGGTCTCACGACTCTGGAATGCGCTACCCATGGACATGACAATTGTCTAACAAATTTATTTTTAAGAGAAGAATATCTTTTGAAAAAACTGTGAAAGCAGTTCATCATCTTCATCATCATCACTTTTGATCTCTATCATTGTTTATTTGTGTTATCGTATATAATCTGTAAGTATGTAGGTATATTTATATATGTATATTTATATTTGTATGTATGTATTTGTATTATATATTTGTATATTTATGTAATATTTGTTTAATGTATTCATGTATGTATATTTATATAAGCATAATGTGCGGTAGTTCTCCATTGTATGTGTTGTAATTTCTTTCACCACATAATAAAATTTCTGTTTTGCCAAAGGTTGACTGCGAGAGAATGCTATATAGTATTAAATCCGCTTTTTGTACCAGACA